ACAGTTTTTTGATGAGGTACCCGTATCTGTCCACAGTGTGATATCTCTGTGCTCTTTGTAAGTGGCCCAACAATCTTCCCCTATACGCATGTCTGTGGGGCCTTCAAGCCACAGTTTAAACCTGAATGTTGTATTCTCTTTCACACACACTCTTTTTCATTATCTCTCCATCTCAGTCTGTCTGTTCTGGATTTTTTTTTTCTTTTCTCTTTTCTTTTTTTTTCTTTTTTTTTCTTTTTTTTGTCTTTTTATGGCAAAGTTTGATAACCATGTTCTCTAGGATTTGTGTGTGTTTGTTTGAGTTATGTATATATATGTATGTTATTTTTAATTGTATGTTATTTTCCATTTTATCTTTGTATTTTCTTTTTTAGATGAATTATTAATAATAGTTAAGTATGTATCATTTAACATTTTTGTTTACTTGTTTTGAATATATATGTTTTTACAATACTTAATTTTCTAGTATAAAAGGGATGCTACTTTCAAGCATGGCTTATGAATGTTCATGAAGACAGTCACACTGCTACGTATGGTGTAAGAGAGCTGTATGATGTGAAATGATAATCATTCTGTAAATTCTGCTGTATAACAAAATAAAAAGCAAGGTATTGAGTTTGGCAATGCACTTCAAACATCAGCAAACTCTCTAGTCTTAGTAATTCTTTCCAGTATCATTAAGCTTGACTAAGTATCTATTCTTTCTTATAATAAATGTTGCCATTTGCACAAGAATGTTAATGAATTCCAGTGTATATGGCATTACTTAATGAATAAATGGAGAGGGTCTTGGCTACACCACGCTAAGAGAATGGACTGCCTTTCCTTAGTGTCCTCCATCTCCCTGAAATGCTCATTGACCTTTGTTTAGTGGTGCATGAGAAGCTACTAACTGGTTTATTTCTCTTGTGTTTCATAATGCTTGATGTCCTTTTGTTGAGGCAGCCTCACCCTCGAAAACTGGAGGTTAGTGGTCATCTGCCTGCACCCTGAGTGCTCTCTCTCTCTTACCCTATTTATAGGATGTGCAGATTATCATTATTTTCTGTTTTCATTGTATTTATTTATTTATTTATTATTTTTTTATGATTTTTTTTTTATAGTATTAGGCGCACAATTATATTTCTGGCTTTTTAAAGGGATTTTAACTTAATATTCCATAAATAAGCTTCAGCATGAACTAGAGTTTCTTTCATGTTAATCAGCCTGACTTACATTTCATGTTGCAAAGATTTCTGCTTTGCCAATTGCAAAAAGGCTTGTTACTTATGTTGGTATGTTATACCACAGGACTTGGACATGCTTGCTCAACACCTGAGTGAACTTGTGGTCGTCTCGGGCCATGTCCCAAACGACCGAGAAAGAAGCGAACGGGAGCGAGCAGAGAGAAACGAGAGGGAACGTGCCGACAGAAACGAGCGGGAGAGACAAGACAGAGCCGAAAGGGACCGGGAGCGAGCAGAGAGAGACCGGGAGAGGGAACGCGAGCGAGAGAGAGACCGGGAACGCGAAAGGGAACGCGAAAGGGAAAGGGACAGAGAAAGGGAGAGAGAGCGTGAGCGCCGAGAACAAGATAGGAGTCGCCAGAATGGTGGAGGTAGTAAACATGACTCCCCTGCACCTCCAGCTGTTATAGAGGATGACTCCAGTGATGAAGATGAAGAAGGACGTGTACGAAATGACGGAACTCTTCTGGCTTCAGATCCACCAAAGCCTCTGTAAGTACAATGAAGAAAATCAAAGAATATTTGTTTAAGCTTTGGTTTTCAACTTGAAGTTTAGGCTCGAATCAGTTCCTTTATTATGCAGGGTAATAAGAATTAAAAAATGGCCAAATTTTTTTTTTATAATTATGGCTTAGTTTTTCATAATAGATCTCATATCCAGTTGAATTAGCACGTTTTCTAAACAGTGGTGGAAACATCTTTTCACTCAGATGGATTTTAGCTAACTTTAATGGTACAGGAGTAGATTGAGAATCATTGATACATTTTAAAAATATTAAAGGAGATAGGAGATAGGATAGATAATAGAAAAGTGTCAAGTACTAGCTGTAGTTAAATTGAGTCCCTCATTTGAAAATGAGGGATGCATTATATGAGTAACATTGTGATAGATGAATAAGATTCAAGAACACTGTACAATTTCTTAGCTTTAGAAGACACACAAAAGAAAACATTGCTCTAAAAAAAAAAAAAAAAAAAAAAAAAAATCAGATAAATCCCACACATTTTGATGAATTAGAAATTTGAAATGTCTTTATCTCCATAAAGTAATGGGATCTGAAGATATTCAGAGAATGAAGCAGATTTCTCTTTGTATTTAAATCATTTTTGTAATTTTAGGATATTTTTATATATCATAGTTTTGAAACTTGTTATATAAATGTTCTTTTGTGTTATGTTAAAACTTTTTGATGGCCCAGAATGTATGCTTAAGTTTTTTTTTTTTCTTTACTAACATTACATGTTTTGAGCTTGCCAAAATTCCATTTATTGTATATACACAAATGTAGCATGTGACCTAACCCTAGTAGCTTTTTGTCATTGTGTAAAAAAAAAATATATAATATTAAGGGCTGATTTTCAAGGTACTAAGCAATGTTTTTAAAAGTACCAAGATTTGTACTTGATTTTATATTTATATACATTTGCATGTACAGACATACATAAACTAATCTTTTTGCATATATGAATTACTAATAGATCTTGTAGCAGAAAATTAGGCAATATCAGGAAAATGTGGTTACTAGATCAAGTTTTAGGGAGATTTTAAGATGCCTGACTTAGTAACTATATCTGGTCATATAGCAGTCATAATTGTAGATGTATTGCACTGTAGATGTATGAAGGTTAGATTGTGAATGTAAAGAATATATAGTTGATTATGTAGATTCCTGATCTTGGCTTTGACCTAGACTCAGAGTTGAGGTCATCATCGGCCAGAGGTGGAATACATTATCTTTTTGCTCTAGTACTATACTGTTAATGAGCATTTTTGTTCTTACTAACATGGTCAACATTGTTGCCATCCTATGCTATTGCTCCCTCTGCCACTAAACCTGATTAAAGTGATATACATCAGTTGACAGAGAGCTGATATCCATGGTGTACATCACATGATCATGATGCTTTTAAGTAGACATGTCAATTACAATGTCATAAAATGACATCTCTTTCTGACCCAAATCCCACAACTCAAGTGAACTTATATTTGTTTTTTCTATATTTTTCCATTAATTTTTATTTATTAGGGGTAAATTTTATTTGCTATCGTCTCATTTCACCCAAGTTTCACGCTGTCAAGTTTTTGACTAGAGCTGAGTATCAAGCTTATCTTAACACTTTTTGTAGCTTCAGTTACATTATTCAAGGCATACTTGGTAGTACAGAAAAGCCAGGTATTATTACTTTGGGATGCAGGTTAATGTCTTATTTAATGTTATTTCTACAAATAAAGCCAACAGGAACACTGATGCATGGTAAAGTGAAATTACTGAACATGCACAGAATGATCTCACAAATGGCTGCTCAAGTATAGCTAGTTCATACTTCAGTCTGATTGGCACTTTAGGCAGCCTGGATGCAGGGGGTTGAATTGCATATGGGAGAATGAATTGGGAAACTTACTTGCATTTGTATCAGGTTAAATTGCATTTCATTTTTTCCTATTTAATGTACATGAGAGCTTAATCCTCTGAGTTATTTTATAATAGTTGTTATTTCATTACATTATGAGTGACAAAGATATAACACATGCAAATACAGACACATTTGTATTCTTTCCACTTTTAGTAAATAGTTTTGATTCAGTAATCATTAATTGACATTTAATATTTTTTATGAAGTGACTAGGATTTTAGGAAGGGTGTTTGAAAGTGTTGTTCTAAGGTCAGTATGACAATAGGAAATTTTGAAGCATATGACTGTGACAGGACAGTCTAACCTGAAATAGATTTCAATTGTCTGTATTTTCAAGTTTTTTCAGGGCTGAGAAATTATGCCTGATGTAGATTTAATAAAGAATAACCAGTAACATTCACAGTTCACAATTTAGACATATGACCATCTTCAAAAAAAGAAAAGGAAATTTTTTTTTTTCTCTCTCTTTACTCACCTCCTAAATCATCTTCCTCCATTTCCTCTTTTATTCCTCTTTTATTAAGTTTCCACCTCAATGAATGCTACTTCTACTTTAACTATGTATATTTTTGTGCTACTTTAGCCTACAGTGTAATTATCTAATAGTTTCTCACTTAACATTAATGTATAATACTTTACATATTCATGAAATGGATATGTAGTTGTGCATGCCCTCTGGTGTTTGGTGTGGATGCTGATAACCCACTAACGCACTAACGGGCCAATCTTCCACTCTTCCCCCTGTTAAACAGGTTCGACTATTCCACTTTCAGGCCTCCAGAGGGCGCCCTTCCTCATACAGCATTACAAGGTGAGCTTTTTGTTTCATCTGTTATTTATGTGTGCACAGGTGATGGTGTGACCAAATGCTACTGATTGGTTTGCTATGAATAGGGATATCCAAATACAGAATTCAGTGTTTTTTTTAATGTTGTGCTTTTGATCTGTTCTTGAATGGAGGCTTTTCTTGTTTCTTTATATAATTTTTAGCTATGTACATGTTGATAAGACAGTGGTAAGCTTCAGACCTCTTTATATAGATTTCAACCATAAAAAAATAGAGGAGTGTTCACTGCTATTCATAGTTTACAAATGAAGATGATATAGCTGGCAAGACATCACTGCAAGGAGCTTGTGTTAACAAACTTGCATTTCAGGACCTCCTCCAAATAGGCCCCTTCCACCCACACCAGATGATGATGACTCAGGAGACCGAACGCTGATCATGCGGAGGGTAGGTCCTCTCTTGCCTTTTGTAAATAAATTAGTAGTGAATCTTTCACCAAGAAGTGAAGGAGATCTTGAGGCACTTTGCACTCACACTGTAGATGTATTCTGATGATCTTGCAATTTATTTAT